CTGCTTTTTCTGACACTTTTTTCGCATATTCCTCTGTACTTAGTTCTTTCAGTTGTTCTTCTTTCTTCTTTTTCTCTACGTTTAACTCATTGAGTTTCTTTGTGTGTCTGTCATATTCTAGTTTCTTTTCGTTTTCACTTATTTGCTTCTGTATGTCTATGTTTGACTTTTTGACATCTGATATTTGATTTTTGAGTGAACTCAAATTCATTTGACTTTGAGGGTTATAGGCTGTTCCGTCTGCAGCTCCACCATAGCCTGCCATTTTCGCTAAAAGTGCCGCTCTTAAACCTCCACTCTGTGCACCAAGAACTCGGTTTAAAAGCATAGGATTGCTTGACATTTGTTGCAACATAGTGGGGTCATTCAGCATTTGTTGTTGCAACTGTTGTTGTGGTGTTAGTCTTACTATTGGATGTTTCAATGCTCCCTTCCTCTTACGTATATTCTTACGTAGCTTACGTGGCATTTTAAGTGAAGTTAAAAAGCGTCATTTGACAGATGTTTATATGACACTTTCTCCGGTTTATAGGACCTCTCTCATATTCTATCTTGTCATATCTAAACTCATAGTCATGTATGTCCTCTAACCATCTCATGACACTTTCCAAACCACTTTTATCGGATGTAAAGTAAAAGCATGGATGGTTATGTAAAACGTCTAAAGTTTCTAAAGAGTCTCTCAAAGTATACTTCCTTGGAACGCCCGTAACTTTTCCTGTAGCGACGATAGACCCTTACTTGTCCGGACAAAGTTGTACTATTTTTTTTACCGAAAAGTCAACGACAACGACTTTCAAAAATTTTATGGGCTAGAAGGGGCGCAGCCCCTGGGAAGCCCCCTATACCCAAAAAAAACCTCATTTTATACTTCATTTATACTAAACATCTTCGGGGCTAGAGGGCACGTAGTGCCTGGAGGCCCCAATACCTTTTTTTTTTTTTTTACAAATATCTAAATTATCATTCCCATTTAATAACTTAATTGTATCATAACTGTAATAAACAGAAATTCATCAAAAGTGACAGCTCTCAATTTTTTGACATTTGTAAATTCTAAATTGAATGAGAAAAATGAAATAATACTAAGCATAATACAATATTCTAGATTTAATTATAATTAGGAAAAAGTTAGTTTTGAGAGTACTTTTCATAGGCATATAGAATGAAATCTTCTGAAAAATAATATCACATAAACTCATATTATTTTCTAATATATAACTATTTTATATAAAAATCAAATTCAATGATCTTAAAAGCGAAGGATAAACCTCAAAATTTACGAATATAATGAGTGGGAATATTTCATATGGTTTTATGATAGATAAGCATTATATTCCCACTCATTATATTCGTAAATTTTGAGGTTTATCCTTCGCTTTTAAGATCATTGAATTTGATTTTTATATAAAATAGTTATATATTAGAAAATAATATGAGTTTATGTGATATTATTTTTCAGAAGATTTTGTGTTCTTCTTCAAAATTTTATTTTTTTATTAAAAAGAATCTTTACAAAATATACATTTACTTTAATTAATATTTAAAAACGTGCTCTATCAAAAGTTCCAAAAATTCAATATTTTAGCTTTTCTGAGGTGTCACTTTTGATGAATTTCTGTTTACAACATAACAATTATCAATCTATCAAAGTAATTCCTGATATTATTCAATTACATGCCAGTAAATACCTATAAAATGCTCTTGATAAAATATTCAAAACCTATTTTCAGCTAATAACAGCCCTAAGAATATCAATTTGTAACGTTAAATGAAATTTTCTTCTAAATTTAAGGGTCCATGGTATATTTTCAATACTATTCAAAAATTGAATGCTAAAATGAGAATTATCGTTATCGTCTTCCTCTTGAATCGATTTTTTTGAGCTTCTTGGTTAACGAAATCCAAAAAAATATATTAAAAACAGTATATAAATATGATATCAAATCAGAATCTATAATTAGATATGGGCCTTGCCATATAAATTTTGAAGATTAACGATAGCCTTCGCCTGGCCGGACCGTGGACCCTTAAAAACCCAGACATCATATCCATCAATCATTAGAAATACTATTTTGGTATAAAACCAAAATATTCGTAAAATGTACAATAACCAAATCAAAAAATTTGAAATACCGGACTTCTTGTTCTAAATAACTGTAAACAGAACGATTTATCTATAAAAGTACAAGTGACTCTAAATGTACTTTCATAATATCTACATACGTAGTCAGATTATTATTTCCACAAAAGTGCCACGGCTAAAATTTTTTACAAATCATGTTAAGTTCAGAGCAACTAAAAAATGAAGAAGGATGTGATTTTGGTGACATAAAGCCAGATGAGGCATTGAAATACCCTAATCAAGCATCAAAACTTATTTGGAATGTCAATTCCGATAATATTTTACAAACATCATCACTAATTATAGAATTTATTAAATCTAACAAAATATCCAGCAAAATGACACTTTACTTGATTGACAATTTTTCACAAATTCGTGATAAAGATATTAAATTATTTACAGAACTTCACAAAAAGATATTAAACAAATTTTCATGCCTAATCAAACCGAAAAATGAGAAATTAGCGATGTTATTATATTATAGAGGTTTCAAATTTGAAAACTTTGAATCTGAAATGAAAGAAGAAGAAATCCTGAATTTGTATTCAACAGAATCTCCTTTATACTATATTGCATGGGATAAAGTTGATGATCTTAAGGGTAAATTCCCAAATCTTGATATTAATGAGGAAATAGATTATGAAATCACACCACTTAATTGTGCAATTAAATATGGCTCAGAATTGTGTTTCAATTACTTGAAAAATTTAGGAGCTAAATACACAGGATACTCCGAAATGTGTGCTGTTCAAGGCGGAAATAAAAACATTTTTATGCAAATGATAGAGGATGGAATCTCATTTGATGACATGATTAATACAGCATTGGATTATCGACACTATGAAATTGCTGACTACCTTAAAACAAATTTTGGACAAACTCCTGATTCAATAGCAGAAAGTATGTTTTTCGGAAATTATGATGTTGCATCTTATTTACTTTCTAATGGAGAAGATATCAACAAAATTTATATTATCTTTAATTTCATATTTATCGTTGTTTTATGGAATTCTCTTTCTTTTCATATTTTTCATTGTTTTATAGAATTCTCTCAATATTCATGAATGTCCTCTTAGTATTGCAATCAAAGAGAATTCAATAGAAATTGTCCAATTCCTAGTCGAGCATGGTGCAGATGTTAACATGGAACTTATTTTCTTTCTTTTCATATTCATCATTATTTCATCACATTCTCTTTCTTTTCATATTCATCATTATTTTATAGAATTCCACTTCTTTTCATATTTATCATTATTTTTTTGGATTCTCTTTCTTTTCGTCTTCATTATTATTTTATGACATTCTCTTTCTTTTCATATTCATCACAATTTTATGACATTCTCTTTCTTTTCATATTTATCATTATTTTATGACATTCTCTTTCTTTTCATATTCATCATTATTTTATAGAATTCTATTTCTTTTCATATTTATCATTGTTTTATGACATTCTTTCGATATTAATGAATGCCTTCTTAGTCTTGCAATCAAAAATAAAGCAACAAATATTATCAATTTCTTAGTTGAACATGGTGCTACAAATTTCTAATAACTATTATACAAAAAAAAATAATGACAATTATTTGATATCCTATATAAAACATATATAATATTAATTTTATTAAACAATCATCGCATAATGAGATATAAGAAATAAACACTAAATATATAATCGTCATGATCGGAATTTATTTTTTGGGAAAAAAAGTCCAAAATTCAATTAAAAATAATCGTCATTTTGGACTTTTTTCCACCCAAAAATTATCCAGTAATCTCGAAATTATTTAAGGATAAAATTTCATAATAATAAATTAATTTTAAGTTTGAAGATGGTGAGATATTTCGGTGAGCACTAATCACATTTAAGCATATGTTTCCAAATCATTCTTTTCCATCTAGATGATATGCCCAATAATATAATTTTATTTTTGGATAATGATATTTGGTGATACTAGCAAAGCATCGAAATACTATTTAATATTAAATTCTCTTGAATGAAAATATTTTGTCAGGCTTTATCAAGAATCTAATAATAGTTGAAAAACTGAGAATCATCTCAACTCATTCACTATTTACATTTTCCATATATGAACTTTTTATTACTTCATTTATTGTGTGTGAGTTTAGAAGACCTAAATAAAAACAATAAATGATCAGATCTAGCTCCCAACATTTTCCTATCTCAGATGCAATGATACTGGAAATACACCTCTCATTAATGCATCAAAAGAGGAATATGCTTTTGCGATATTTGTAAACAATACATTGTATACGAAAACTCTCTCAAAATTGGGAACTCTCTCTCAAGAATTTTACAGTGAATTGAGTCCCAGAAACATCTTGTGTTGGTCTTCTATCAGATCTTCTTGTGGTTTTATACTTGTTCATTGTTTATTATCTCCAGAGAACTCCATTATAAAATCTTTGATATTTTTTATTTTTAATTAAGGCAACTGGCGTGAAGCGTCATTGAAAATTAACCTTAAACATCTGAATTGAAGACTATGTCATAGGGGTGTAAGTGCACCCTTAAATGTGTAAGAACATTTAAAAAGAATATTGTGAATTTAAGAATGTCATTTTCTCCCCCGGGGGTTGATCGCGTCACCCAAGTGAAGGACGGCGGGGGACAATAATTGAAGAGTTTTGCTTGATGAATTCAGAGTCTATTTGTAAAACGTCAAAAATAAAGTAACTGATGATAAAAATGACTCTAGGGGATTTTATTGTTTTAAAAATCATGAAATATTAAAAAATCTGCTATGACATAAAGTACTCCTTAATATGAAACATAAAACAATTTGAAAAATATAAGAGTACAAAATTTTTGATAAAAAAAGTGCAAAATTTTGAGTCTTTTTTTCCCTCCAAAAAAATGATTGCTGAGGTGCCAGATCAATATATAGAAGCGCCTAAGGCGACTACTTTCCAGCAATCTAGTGAGGGTGATAATGTTCTTCACTATGTTGCGCTTCCAGATGGAAAAACATCTATAGATCCAGTTGATTTTCCAAAGGAACCCTTGCTACAATACGACTTTGAACTTGACGAATTCCAAAAAACAGCTGTAGCATGCGTCCATAGAAACGAATCAGTTCTTGTTTCTGCACATACATCAGCAGGAAAAACCGCAATTGCATTATATGCCATTCAATCAGCAATTAACAGCAATTCTCGAGTCATATACACATCACCAATCAAAGCTTTATCCAACCAGAAATACAGAGAGCTCAAAGAACAATTCGGCGAAGTTGGCTTAATCACAGGCGACGTAACTGTTAATTCTAGTGCTCCAATTCTCGTCATGACAACAGAAATTCTTCGGATGATGCTATACCGTGGTGATTCATTGATCCACGAGCTTTCTTGGGTTATTTATGATGAAATTCACTACATGAAAGATCCAGAACGTGGTGTTGTTTGGGAAGAATCAATCATTATGCTTCCAGACTCAGTCCACTTCGTTTTTCTTTCAGCAACAATTCCAAATGCGAGAGAATTTTCAGAATGGATTTCCTCAATACACCATCAACCATGCCACGTAGTTTATACAAATCACAGACCAACACCACTCAAGTTTTACATATCCTCAAACGGAAGTGAAGCTCCAGCCTTAATAAAAGAAGGAGAAGGGCCATTAGACACAGTTGCAGTTCATACAGCCTATTCAAAAGTGAAACCAGAGGAAGACAAAAGTATTTACAAAGGAATTTCCGTTACAAAATTAAATTCCGGCGAATCTAAGCCTGTTTCACGCCAAACAACAGATAAACTATGCGCCGAAACCGCAGCATGGCTTGTGACCCATGACCAAGCTCCTTTGATCGTTTTTGCTTTTGGCAGAAAATTATGCGATGATCTTCCAACGAATTTGAATGGAAAGTCATTTGTTACACAAGAAGAGTCCGAACAAATCAACCAGATGATCGATGTAGCCATAGAAAAGCTCGAAGACAGCGAAAAAGAATTACCTCAAATTCAAACAATGAGAAACCTCTTAGTTCGCGGTATTGGTGTCCACCATGGCGGTCTCATTCCATTACTTAAGGAATTGATCGAGCTTCTATTTCAATACGGTTTATTAAAAATCTTATTTGCGACAGAGACATTTGCCATGGGTCTAAACATGCCTGCCAGGTCCGTCTTATTCCATTCCCTGTTCAAATTCGACGGAGACAAGCGAAGACTCCTTACATCTAGTGAATTCATCCAAATGAGCGGTCGCGCCGGCAGAAGAAACAACGACAGGTTCGGAAATGTCATTCTCACATGTACAGGCGAACCACAAGAGCGTCCTTTCTGCGATTTGCTCACAGGAATCGCCCAACCACTTAATTCCGAATTTCACGTCACTTACCATATGCTTTTGTCCCTTTTGACTTCACGTATGATGGCACCCGAACTCCTTATGAAGCGTTCTTTCCACCAATTCCAAATGGAGCGCGAGGAACCATTAAAAGAAAAGGAAAGGGACGATTACGCGCGAAGAGCCTCCGAAATCCAAATCAAAGACGAAAACAAAGTTAAACAAAGGGTTGTTGTTGAAGATTCCATTGAAAAACTGAAACAAGAGAAGCGAGATCTCGAAATGTCTCGTGAATGTTTGAATGACATATTAGTTTTAGGCAGAGTTGTTGAAGTTGGAGAGTTCGGATATGGAATTGTCGCTGCAGGATTCGCTCCAAAGCGAAAAGACCTCGAAATCTTTGTCGCCATTGCAGGAAAGAAAAACAAAGATGGAGAGATTGTTCCTGATCCTCCTTTGCGACAAGATTCAACAATTTTCCACATGAAAATGGATGCGAACCAACTTACAGCAATAACTGATTTTGTGATTGATGTTCACCGGATGACGAATGATGGTGGATTGAACTACGCTTTCTCCAAACTCTTGAAAGCTGTGAACCAACACAAAGTGAATAAAAAAGATTGGTCATTCGTAATGAACAATGAAGAAAAAAGGAAAAAATACGAAAAGCTCAATTCTCAATTGGAAAAACTCAATGAATTACTTCCAAAACTCCAGAATGTTCCTAAAGAAGATATACAACTCTATAGAAAGAAACAAGATCTTCAGGAATTATCTAAAATGGCTGCAGAAAGATGTAATTATCTCAAAAAAGCTGTGATGCAAAGAGATTTGCAAGAAATGAAACTAATTATAGAAAAATTAGGTTTCGTTGACAGCGAAGGAATAATTACTGATAAAGGAAGAGTTGCTTCTGTTATAACTGCTGGTGATGAATTAGTAATGACTGAATTACTTTTCTCTGGTTTGTTGAATGAATTAACTTCTCAACAAATTGCTTCTTTGATGTGTAGTTTCGCTACGGATGAAGGTGCAAAAGATGAACCTGAAATCCCTGACGAAATGAAAATGCCGTGGGAGAAATTGAAGGATATATGTGAAAGAGTGTATAACGTGATGTTGGAATGCGGAAGAAACGAACCAAAAGAGAAATGGATGGGTAAATTCGATGGAACATACGTTTCTCTCACTTTTAACTGGGCCGCAGGAGCTTCTTTCAAGGAAATAATGGAAGAAAATCCGGATACTTTCGAAGGTGGAGTAATTAGAACAATGAAAAGAACTGAGGAAATTCTGAGACAGGCTCAAAGAGCTGCTGCTGTTATGGGATCCCCTGAGTTGGAATTGAAGATATTAGACGCAATCACGAAGATAAAACGTGATATTGTTTTTGCTGCTTCTTTATATTTGTAAAATAAAAATAGAATTATTTTAAATTAATCTTTTTTTTAAAATTCGATTTCCTAGTATATTAGAAGCAAACATAAAAGATTAACGTGATCTTGCTTTTACTTGCTTCTTTACATTTAGAATTATTTTGAATTAATCTAACATGCGCAAAAAACATTATTTAAAATTGAATTTGCGCATTTTTTGAGTATGCTAAAATTTTTGCATATGCAAAAAATATAAAAGAAAAAAACAAATCATTTTTGACTTCTTTACGTGAGATGCACAGATTAAATGCAAAATAATCGTTTTGTGAACTTGAAGGATTTTTTTAATTCAATCTCCTTGTGCGAATGGTGCAAATATTGATTATTCTGATTCTGAAGGTAAAACGACTCTTCATACTGCCGTAAGTGAAAATCAAACAGAAATTGCATTGGTTTTGATTTCAAAAGGAATTAATATAAATGCATTAAATGGATATGAACTTAATATTTCTGTTGCATCAAATAATACTGCTATGGTGGAGTTACTTTTCTCACATGAGGCCAAGGTTAACATAAGAGATAAAGTAAGAGGTTTTACACTACTTCACTATGCATGCATGACCAATAATATTAAAGTTGTTAATATTCTAATTTCACATGGCGTAGATGTAAATGATAATAGGAACCCTTGGAGTCAATATTTAATTGTAATTGTAAAGATGTTGCTGAAATTTTGCTTTCACATGGGGCAGATGTCAACAAGAAAATTATCGTGGTGATATTGCTCTCCATCATGCCATATTCTTTGAATGTAAAAATATCACGAAACGCTATGTTAATGATTATTGACATGATTTCTTAAATGATGATTTTGTAAATTCTTTTGATATGGAAAGAAACTCCAATGATTTGGTTGAACTTCTACTTTCAAACCGTGCCACTGTCAATGCAAATAACCATGATGGGAATACACCTCTTCATTTAGCTTCAATGATGGATGATGACAAAGTCATTGAACTATTAATTTCTCATGGTGCTACAATAAATCCTTTAGGTATAATGATCTAACTCCCCTTGACTTAGCTGTTATACGTGAAATAAGTTGCCGAAGGGGCGCAGAAGATCAATGCGGATCTAGTCCTGATTATCAATTGGCAAATAAGGTAGTGAATCTCTTAATATCACATGGAGGAATAACTACGAAAATAGGGGACCAGGCGTATACTTAACTTTTGAAATTAAGAGAAAGTTAACAAAATAGTATATGAAAGAATAAGCATTCGTTGTATTTCAAAGATTCTCCAAATTGTACTATGGGTATTTTATTGAATTAATTTCATTTCTAAAATAACATATATTTGGACATTATATAAATTCATAAACTAAAAACTTATTTATAACTATATACAATGTATTTCGTTATGGAATACATTATCAAATATTTTGGTTTCCAACAAAGATCTGAAACGGTTCTATCAACGGTCTAAAGTTTGATATTTGAAATAACAATTTATATGCGTCTAATTTTTATCTCTTTTAAAAAACTGCATCGAATAAATTCCGGTGAGAAAATTTCATCAATTTTTTTTGAATCATTATTCAAATTTGAGAGATCGTCTCATATGACAATAATTCAGAATACAATCATAAGACATGAACTTAACAATCCTTTCAAACTGATTTCCTGTATTACATAAGACATGCTAACATGTATAATCATCAGAAAATTTGTATCATTTCACATTTCATTATTAATGATACCTCAATCAGTACCATGCATGATTACAGGTGTTAACCATCTTCCTGTAACTCAAAATCTAAATCAGAATGCTTTTAATGCATCTGCCATGGATATTCTTACAAGATTAAACAATGGAGAAGAGGTAAGAGTTGCAATTGATTGCGAAGGTTTTCAATTAGGTTATCACTCACATTCACTTGGAATTCTACAAATAGCTGAATGCTTCAAGAGTGGATTTCCTAGTTCAAACTCTTCACATGTATCAATTGAGCTCCAGCAAGGATTTTTAATTAAAACTCCATTCTCTCAGCAAACTACTACATATCTCTCAAACATCTTAAGCCATAAGAATATAAAGATTATTATGTTTGGCTGTACGTGCGATATTCCAGCCATTCTTGAAGAAGGTGTAAACTTAAATATCAAAGCAATCATTGATGGACAAACTTACTCCATTGATAGACCAAAAGTCTTAAGGACACAATAGGCATTGCTACAAATTGCGTAGAATACAATAATGCATTAAGATCATTAGCAACAAAAGATGAAATCAATTTTGACTTATTCTACTATCAAAACAAGGATAAACCAGATCCATTTTCAATTATGCTCACGCAAAGATTCTGGAATTATAGCGGAAATGATATTGGATTAACAGCTGTCGGCCTGATGGGCGCTCTTAGAATGACAAGTTTCGAAAACTTAATAAGATCTTCAAATATAAAAACCCAGAAAATATATGATCTAATCCAGCGTCATGGATATATCGCTCCTGCTTGCGAAAACGGTTTCCAATATTCACCACCTTATATTAATGGAAGGATTCCAAACATGGAAGTTGCCCTTAAACTTTATGTAAGATGTTGCTTAATCGAAGAAAATTTCAATCTTTATCAATTATTTGCACCATGGGATAAGAAGCTTTCTTTGAATCAAATTCGCCAAGGAAAATCAAAAGCTCTAAATTATATAAGAAATCAGAGATTTTACTAATTTGATCTGATATTTTTAAAATCTGAAATTCTTAAGACTAAACTTATCACATATTATCAAAACGGCATATGAATTTAAATTTAAATGTCAACAATAGGATCAATTCGATATCGTAGATTTTATATATAAAAATTTGAGTCAAATAAAGAATTTGCATGTATAAAGCTCTAAAAATACGGAAATATATGCTATATATAATTAAAACATGGGCGATGAGTTTAGATGAAATAATTATGTCATTCATTGAAATAATTCCATTCAAATCATAGCAATTGCAATCCCCAGCTAATCTAATGTGGTTTTAATTAAAGTGTTGAAACTATAAATGCGATTGGAGATATGCACAACCATTAGTTTGGGGCAATCCTGAATCAACAATTGGTGGAATCCCAATTAATGACTTTGCCACAGGTGTCCCATCTAAAGTCTTCCCTGACCACTATATGAAGAAGCCGACTGGCGACAATCTTGGTGGAACAGGATTTAATTTCAAGTCATATGGAAGTTTTCCAGATTGTGTGAAAGATTCTTCTATCCAATGTCCTACAAAGTATATTAATTATAAGCAATATTGTGGTCCAGCACGTTATGAATTCTTTAACCCTACAAAGGCAGATTTTGCACCATATACTTATCTTTTTGACTTCGTTAATCTTACGTATCCATCTCGTGTTTGCCCTGATGGTACTGCAATTTTGCCTGGGGCTTCTTTTTATATCAATTGGTATGAAGTCTGTGCCCCGTATACATGTGATAAGTATGATAGTTATACATTGAATGTAACACATAATGGAAATTCAAAGATAATAACATGTAACAAGAACAACGTCGGTGCACAATTCACATATGAAGTTCCAACATCATGGGGACAGGGTATAAGAACAGCAACATGCGTTTATCCAGAAATATTCTGCAGAACTGTAAAACTCCATGATATGAACTTTGTTGCTGATCCATTTGACCTTAACACTGTCCAGCTTGAAGATCCATATAAAACATCAATATCCACTCCTACACCACAGACTCCAACACCAACTCCACAGACTCCAACTCCGAAGACTCCAACGCCACAAATACCAACTCCAACTCCTAAGACTCCAACGCCACAAACACCAACTCCAACTCCGAAGACTCCAACGCCACAAACACCAACTCCAACTCCGAAGACTCCAACTCCAACACCACAGACTCCAACGCCACAAATACCAACTCCAACTCCTAAGACTCCAACGCCACAAACACCAACTCCAACTCCGAAGACTCCAACGCCACAAACACCAACTCCAACTCCGAAGACTCCAACTCCAACACCACAGACTCCAACGCCACAAATACCAACTCCAACTCCGAAGACTCCAACTCCAACACCACAGACTCCAACGCCACAAATACCAACTCCAACTCCTAAGACTCCAACGCCACAAACACCAACTCCAACTCCTAAGACTCCAACGCCACAAACACCAACTCCTACACAGAAGACTCCGACCCAAAATTCGCCAACAGCTAAATCCGAAATAACAAATATTCCAATCGAAACAAGTTCATCACCACAAAATCCAGTTGTAGCACCATCTGAAAATGACAGAGGAAAGAGTAGTCCAAGGGGCAATGATGATTCCAAGTCAGGATTAGGCTCTAAAGGACTTTCAACAAAGATGTTGATAATCATTTGTGCAGTAGCTGCTGGCGTTGCCCTCATTATCACTATTGCTACTGTTATTGCATGCAAGGCCAAAAGAACAATGGAACATTCAAGTGATGATATCCTTCATGAAGAATTCCTTGTCTAAATTATGTGTTTTTTTCATATTGAGCTAATGATTAAAGATTTAATTCTAATATGTTCTAATTGATATGGGATTAATAACATACAAAAATGAATATTTTGATTTTGTGCGCTCATTTGTTTTGCTTGTTTCATTGGCTAAAAATAATAGAAATATCCACTATAGGGCTAATAATGAATGGGTGCCTTATAGACAACATCACTCTCTCTGAAGCCAATATGTTGTGTGAATCTATCTCGAAGGAATTTAAGCATGAGAAATCTTGGTCCTGCACTAGTGCTTATAAGTTAATAATTTCTTTGAGGTAACAAGAAACTTTCTTGTAAAGAAAAACCTTCACTGCTGAGATTGAATGTTATAAAACTCATATAATATATATGTGCTTCATAACCTTCAATCTCTGCGGGGAAGTCAGCAAACTTGAAGTTAATTACTCATATTTAAATTAATGTTTGCTGACTTCAGAGAGAGAATTATAAAAGGTTTCATAATTTCATTCTCAATATATTTGAGAGAAATTTTGCCTCATTTAATAGAATCTTGTTTTTATATCTTATTATTTTCTCATAATACTTCTAATTCCTCTATTTCCTCTTCCACATAAAATTTAATTTTGTAATGCTATCATATACACTTAATGTTTTCAAATTTTCAGATTTAAATTTAATCTTTATTTTCATCATCATTTATAATCTTGTTCCTATATAAAGTTATAATAAATTATCGTCAGATTCTAATATTTATGATTCTTACTACTCAATTCAATATAATTATGTTAGTCACTCATATTCAGGAGAATAATTTAAAAATCTATAGCTCATATTTTGATAGTTATATACCCTATAATTTTATGAATATGGCACTTTTCGTCGATTTTCAAAGAATTAAATCGCTTCTATCTCAATAACTAATAAACATATAAGATTTTTGAAATTATATATAGTGTACTACAGCTCAAGATATTATTAATATGTATTAGAAAGAATAAGATATTGGATTTTGATATCACAAAATGACTTTTCAATTTATTGTAGTTCCTCACAGAGTTGAGATTCTACAAAATTCTTTGCAGATAATTTATGAAGGGATGATAGACTAACGAACTATAGATACATGAATTGAAAATAAAAAAATCGATTAAATATGAACCTTCATAAACCGTTTAAGAAACTTAAAAACTATTCTTTATTGTTTATTTTGGACGAAGTTTAATATGATTGTGGTTTTATTGGACAATAATCGAGTAACGGAAAAATATAACATTTATCTATAAAGTGAAAATTTAGAGGTATATTTCGTAAGATATTTCCTCTCTGATTACAAGAACTATTGTGAGCTATCAATCTAATGAAAGAGAGCAGATTTGGCCGTAATGAAAATGCAATACTTCGAAAATCAATGCAAAAAAGATTAATTTGTTAGAAACAATCGACGATGACACTGAATTCTAAGAGCAAACGTTTCCATTAGGATATTTTGATCATTTCCAAATATTGCAAAATTGCATTTAAACAAGTTAAGGAGAATACTATATTAACCGTGTTGTAAGGAAATATAACAATTTTAAAGATTTTGCGACAGAATTTGAAAAAATATGAAAATCAGATATATAAAAATTGAATAAAATAACATTATGATGGAATATAAGTAGATGAGCTATTAATGCTGCTATGATTTAAAATTGAGTAGTAATGAAATAGAATTTCGATTAAAAAAATTAATGTAATCGTATGAAAGCTTTGATCCAAATAATTAATATTCGCAAATATTTTAACCTACTAATAAAATTCTGATTATATTAAGATATTTTAAAAATGAGATTCCAAATTGAATGGTGATGGAGATGAAAATTTTTAAAAATATAAATAAGAGGATAAATTGATTGAGATATTAACTAGTAAATATTTGAAAAAGTAAATTATTTGAAATCCTTTAAAAATGTTACGGATAAAAGCTATATAAATAAAATGATGGTGTGGTTGTTAGCTTAATGTGTAATATCAAAAAGAATTAATGGGTGTTTGAACTGAGCAACTTTGAGAAGAATCATTTGTGATTCTTGTCAAAGTTGAATCAAAGACAACAATTGATAGACAATTGTTGTCTTTGTGTACAACATTCACTTGAATTATAAACAATAACAAGTGTTTGTTGTTCACTGAGCAACTTTGAGAAGAATCATTTGTGATTCTTGTCAAAGTTGAATCAAAGACAACAATTGATAGACAATTGTTGTCTTTGTGTACAACATTCGCTTGAATTATAAACAATAACAAGTGTTTGTTGTTCACTGAGCAACTTTGAGAAGAATCATTTGTGATTCTTGTCAAAGTTGAATCAAAGACAACAATTGATAGACAATGGTTGTCTATGTGTTCGATAAACACGTGTTATTTATGAATATACACGTGTTTGTTGTTCACTGAGCAACTTTTAGAAGAATCATTTTGTAATACTTTGAAACACAAAATAGCATATTATGCTTTTATTTATCTATATGTGTCATTTTGGGAGACATTGTCTATGCAAGTCTCCCAGAATGACACATTCATACACAATCTTCTTCTGATTGTGTATCTTTTGTCAACAAAGTGCAACAGTGCACTGTTATTGTGTGCTATGTGTCATTGTGGGAGACATTGTCTATGCAAGTCTCCCAGAATGACACATTCATACACAATCTTCTTCTGATTGTGTATCTTTTGTCAACAAAGTGCAACAGTGCACTGTTATTGTGTGCTATGTGTCATTGTGGGAGACATTGTCTATGCAAGTCTCCCAGAATGACACATTCATACACAATCTTCTTCTGATTGTGTATCTTTTGTCAACAAAGTGCAACAGTGCACTGTTATTGTGTGCTATGTGTCATTGTGGGAGACATTGTCTATGCAAGTCTCCCAGAATGACACATTCTTCTCAAATGTTCTTACACTCTATTAAAACTATTCATAAATACAATTTCAATCTTATCCTCATTTTTTTCCGATTACACGTATCGAATCCCAACCTACTGAAACACTTATTCCTCACAATCATTCGCAAATTTTTCTAATCTATGTTTTCTCAACTATTATCCTTTACCTTCATAACAGCATTTAAATATTCCTAATGAAATTTAATGTTTTCATATTAAATACTTAATCACACAAAAATTATATTATCAAATTTTTATATCATTCTTAAATTCCAGATTATATTGCTTACTTTGCAAGCTAACTATAATATAGTGTGATAGCCTTATTGAACTTTGATCAAATACTCCTTCGTCCGTTAAAAATTAAGATGCGTTTAAAAAATCGGAAAAAAATTCTTTTGTTTTATTTTTAATTTTTCAAACGATAAAACTTTTTAGAAAAACTCCAAATTCCAAGAAATGCTTAGATTCAATATGAAGAACATATTCATACAGTCATTGTTGTAAACAGAAATTCATCAAAAGTGACACCTCAGAAAAGCTAAAATATTGAATTTTTGGAACTTTTGATAGAGCACGTTTTTAAATATTAATTAAAGTAAATGTATATTTTGTAAAGATTCTTTTTAATAAAAAAATAAAATTTTGAAGAAGAACACAAAATCTTCTGAAAAATAATATCAAATAAACTCATATTATTTTCTAATATATAACTATTTTATATAAAAATCAAATTCAATGATCTTAAAAGCGAAGGATAAACCTCAAAATTTACGAATATAATGAGTGGGAATATAATGCTTATCTATCATAAAACCATATGAAATATCAATTTTTGCTTTACGCCTATTCCCACTCATTATATTCGTAAATTTTAAGGTTTATCCTTCGCTTTTAAGATCATTGAATTTGATTTTTATATAAAATAGTTATATATTCGAAAATAATATGAGTTTATGTGATATTATTTTTCAGAAGATTTCATTCTATATGCCTATGAAAAGTACTCTCAAAACTAACTTTTCCCTAATTATAATTAAATCTAGAATATTGTATTATGTTTAGTATTATTTCATTTTTCTCATTCAATTTAGAATTTACAAATGTCAAAAAATTGAGAGCTGTCACTTTTGATGAATTTCTGTTTATTACATCATTTCGTTTCAAATTTCAATTTTCAAATCGAACAAAGCTGCAAATTTGAACACTTTACAAAATTTTGAAACGTCTTTTCCCGAATGAATATTGAGTTTCAAGCCGGACAAGCTATAGCAAAACTGATCCTTATGCAAAAAAAAAAAAAAAAAAAAAAAAAAAGGTAGTGGGGCTTCCAGGCACTTCGTGCCTTCTAGCCCTGAGGATGAATGAGTATAATGAAGTTCTTATATACGGGTCTTCCAGGAGCTTTTCACAAAATATATATGTTTTTCATGTTTTGTCAAGATTTCATCGTAAAGACTTTGTCAAGATTTCATCGTAAAGACTTTGTCAAGATTTCATCGTAAAGACTTTGTCAAAACTTCATCGTAAAGACTTTGTCAAAACTTCATCGTAAAATCAGACAAAAATAATGTTTAGGGTAGAAGGTTAGATATAACCTCTTTTCTAACCTCTTTTCTACCCTCTTGAATTTGTCAAGATTTCTTCGTAAATGTTTTGTCAAGACTTCTTCGTAAATGTTTTGTCAAGACTTCTTCGTAAATGTTTTGTCAAGATTTCTTCGTAAATGTTTTGTCAAGACTTCTTCGTAAATGTTTTGTCAAGATTTCATCGTAAAATCAGACAAAAATAATGTTTAGGGTAGAAGGTTAGATATAACCTCTTTTCTAACCTCTTTTCTACCCTCTTGAATTTTCATGAAATTTACACCAAAAATATACTACTAGGGTCATTTACGAAGAAATCTCAACAAAGTCTTTACGATGAAATCTCAACAAAACATAGACAAGAAAGTTCATGAGAAATTAGATGAAGAAGTCTTAACAAAGTCTTTACGAAGAAATTCATGAAAATTCAAGAGGGTAGAAAAGAGGTTAGAAAAGAGGTTATATCTAACCTTCTACCCTAAAATATATTTTTGGGTCAT